GAATGATTTTCAGCGGAATTGTCCTGACTCATGATACAAGTCTGGTCTGTTTTTATTTTATTAAGTGTAAAACAGGAAAGAGAGGTTTTGTTGGTTAGGGATATCATTTTAAAACTAACTGAAAAGATTAATTCATTTTGTAAAATAAAAGACATGGGGCTGTAGCTGAAACCAACAAGATGCAGTTTTTATAGGTGACTTTTGAAAAGTGTACCACTTAGTGGAAAATATATCTATAGCTCTATGTGGTAAAGATGTCCGTTAAGACATTACTGATTGGAGCTATAACACCTCTTTTTGCAGCAGGTTTATGGTATTCAATCACCTTATAAATTCATCATCTAATGTAACGTGTTTTCTGCTCATCCAAACCCTGATCCGTTAAAGTGAATAAACATTCACTCTCCTAATCATCATCAGTAGCGATGATTCAGCAATTTCCTTGTTGTAGAGGAATCATTTGATAACTTTACAGATGGATGTTATTGCGATCTAAAAGGTCCATGATGTCTTGGTGAATTTCTATAAAAACAGTAGGAAGTTCCTTCTGAAGGTAATGTACTCCTCTCTGACACCATGTTCCTTATTTTTCAGATCAACTTGGAGGAGTTTGGGGCAGACTTTTTAAAGACTGTATAAGGACCAAAGTGTTCTGTTGCTGTTATTTCCCAGGGCACCTAGCAGTTCCTACGCACTCTGACCTGATCTAACTGCAGTGCAAGAAAGGGCAAAGACTAGTAGATTGTCTGTCAACAGCAGTCTCTTTGAAAGGTTCGACATAATCATATCTCTTTTCGTGAAAGCGGACTCCTTCATTGAATCAACCTAGACACAAATCGTGGAAACCTCTAGGGAATATTGTACTATAATTCTAATTGATTTCCTGAGGCCCAATAAGACGCAAAGGTCGAAATGATCATTCATGATCATTTTCAAGATTTACATTTACTTTGGAAAAAGTTTTATATTTTTCACTTTGCAGTTTGGCAACTCTAGCTGATTTATTTTTATGACTAAACACAATATGTGATGTTGAAGGTGTGGGACTGTTTTATGGTTTTCATCTTCAAGGCTGCTGAGGTTTGGATTCCTTTGGATCACAGCCAGTTGTTTTGTTGGTGTGGAAAGGAAACCTAGTTTGCTGACACCACATATATAATACAAATATTGCTGTGTGCAAGGATTTAATGCTGTTGCTTTGTGTGATCTGAATAAAAACATCACTAGAACTTTTTGTTCACTTTTGAACAAGAACTGCAGTAGAGTGTTCTTGGGAGCGCCGGGAATGGGTTAGTGTTGTGACTATGAGGGTTTTGGACGTTCCTGCTGTTGATCACCATCTTCAAAGTATTCTAGTTAATTGGCAGTGGTCTGACTAATCACATGTTGGCTTTTTATATTTAGTCTAAATGTATCGTTATGACTTGAAATACAATAGCCCTGATTGTTAAAGAAGCCACATAATTGCCTGGCAGAACTCGCATGACTTTTAAAGTCTGTTTTTCTACTCGACTGCACGAGGTTGCTTTCTTAGTTTCCGCATTGAAAGGTTTTGTCTGAAAGCCTGCATAGTGTATCTGCCCCATGCCTCAGGGACTGCCCGGAATGTGCTGCAATTGAGTTATCTTGATGAGAAAGAGATGGTTGTCTCTTCACAACAGATGGATAATAATCTCTCTTATGCTCTGTTCCGTAGATACTAAGGTGTAGCAAACGCTGTTCCCATATAGTGCGCGCTATATTAATATAAACCTGCCCTACAGGAAAACGGAACAGAAATTTAATTTTCCTCACCTCTGACTTAAACATTTCCATCAGTGCTACAACACCAAAATTACACCCGCAGACATTGAACTTAGATTAGCTCAGAGTTCAGAAACCTGCCTGACGTTTTGGGCAGCTGTTACAAATAACATAAAATTTTACCTCTGACTTACGAAAGCGAGGTTAGCGGTTTCTTTGCAAAACCCATCAAAGTTACATTTCATTGTCAGTAATGTTTAGCACTTTGCAGAGTGTGAAATCACTGTTGCCATTCGAAGTGCTTGCCTATATAGAATAATTATTGCTTTCCTGCCCTAGAAGTGTATCTTGTGTAAATACCCCGGTAAAGGAGAAAAGGTCAATTGGTTCAGGATCCTTTGTGACTGGGAAGCCCGTATGGCCAGAATCTTGCAAACTTGATCAGCAGATGCTTTGTAATGTGTTTGTTTTTTAAAGCCACGCAGGCAGGTGTGCTTTACTGTCCATCCTCAGGTGTTGCAGTGGGGGGCTTACTGACCCCGTATTAATGACAGCCTGAGCAAGACCAGGCTGAGGAGGGAGAACTGCTTGTGAGAGATCTAGAATATAACTAGTCAGACGCTGTCCATTGCTTCTCCTTGAGCACTTGTATTTTTGTAAATGCCGGAGGTGCTGGGTCGTGTTTCACCCGTGGCAGAGCGAGCCTGCTGGACGCGGCTGTCCAGCTGAGGAAAGGCGAGACCGGGTGTGGGCCTGTGCCACCCCTGTGTGGGGGTGGACAGAGTCCAGTCCGGAGAGGCAAGCGATCCCATCGCGTCCCGAGCGGCCCTCCGACGAGACGCTCCAGCTGGGAGCGGGCTGGGAGCCGGCGTTTCCACGCCTGTGACCCTCCTGTGGGTGCCGCAGACAAGCCCCAGGGGCCGGGACCCCGATCCGATGGGATGGAGACTGGCGCGAGGGGTGGCGCGATCCCGGGACATACAGCCTGGCTGGGGCAGTAGCTCAGACAAGCGGGCTGGGGGGCCGCTCTTTAGCTGAAGATGGAGTTGCTGCCCAGGTGTTTGAAAACCCTGCTACCTGTGACCCTTGTGATTTTGTCTGTCTGGCACAGAGCACTGACCGTGCGCTGTCTGTGAACCGACTGAGGAATAATCATTGGAATCTGTGCAGCTTTACCTTAAATAACCAGATAGACCACTCTCAGCAATCAATACTGGCTTAGTCGCAATAAGTTATGTTACAATTTGAATACTTGAACTTCTGTTTTAATTGGCAACAATCGATGTGCGTTTAGATTTGATCAGATATTAGATCGGTGGGTCTTGTGTTTTACTGTACCCTGGAGCCGCTTTGAGGCGAGATGATACCTCAGCCATGATCTTCCAGAGGAGCTCCGTTCAGTTTAATGGTCTGTAACGGTCCAGGCTAACCGGTTTCATTCTCTGAACCCTGTTTTGGAAAATATGTTGTTTTTTGTAAAAAATAAAATATCGCAATGGAAGCCCTGCATGTTTGCGCTGCATGCGGGTCCTGCCCCTCGGTATTGACTTTCACCTGCTCTTGGGGTTACATCACGCTTTTGATTGTGTGATCGATTCATGCTCTCACTCCGCTCACATGCCTTAGTGGAACACGGCAGGGCACACGGCTGCACCATCCCGTGAGCTTTCTAAAGGTCCTGCGCTGAGTGATTGATTGATGTAACGCAATCCCTTTTACGCTCGCAGCTTGCTTCCTGCATAAGCAGCTCAGTGCGTTTCACTCGTCATTCTGCTCTCTGAGAAAAGCACTCGTGTGTTTTATGTTTTTCTAAATATTTGGAATCAGGCACACAATTTGGCTAGAATTTTGGACAGCAGATTATTTTGCTGCAGGCTTCACTGGTATTTGCTCGCACCTGCTATTAGGAATGAGTGCACTGTGTTCTTGGTTAACTTCAGGTTCAGTGGAATGTGCTTCTGTTTTGAAAAACGCAGCAACATGGAGAAACCCTCTACTTCCAGGACACTTTAAGATATTTTGTTACATTGTCATAACAGACCTTTTTGTCAGAGTTACTGTGCCATCTTGAGGATTAAATGTTTGAAGAGTATCTGTCTGATGTGGTGAAACCTGATTATTCACGTCTGGATTTCTGGCTTTTAGTGTGCAATTCTGCAGTGGTTGTAATAACTGTTTATATATACTGCATTGTTAAAAGCTTTGGGTTGGGATGAACAATAGCTGTTAATACTTAACAGTACTTACAACGCTTTTCATAGCTCAGAAAATGATCCCTGTATGTGTTCTGTAGCAAATGATTCGTATATTTTACAGCTCTGGGAACTTTGGAATGGTTACCACTATGTACACAGTTACTGATTACCTTATTGGATAGTGAATAAGAATGTTCAATATTTTTCATACTTCATAAGCTGTTTTAAGTACTATGATCATGTTTAAATGACGTGTGACCTATTCCCATATCGCTGCTTCTAAAGTTTCTTTATAATAGTTTTGTCTTCTTTTATAGTCTTTATGGGTGTGTCAAACTGTGGGTATACAAACTATGGGAGGGGTTGGTGGTAATAGGTCTGAAAATGCTCATTTCTGTGGATCTTAAGGGAAATGAAAGCACGTAGTGCTGAGACTCACAACCAAATGAGAGTACATTTCAGACCAAGCACAAAAGACAAATTAAGAGTCCAGTTGCATGAAGATAAGAAGTGAAAACAAGTCAAGTGATATGAGTTTCTTGCAACTTAGAATGTAAAGAAAAATGATCAGGATGTTGCTATATACGTAATGTGAATGGTGTGCAACAGTGTTTCTAGTAGTTTGAAAGGTAAGTTGATAACTGGTGCCCAGAGAATGTTAACATCCTGCACCAAACGATCTAAACCTTGACATGACATGCTAGACCTGCAAATACAGTGACAGGTCATGTGTGGTGGATCTGGTAAAATACATTTCATTGCCACATCACACCCGATATTCGTTTCAGGGGGGATAAAGAGAGAGGTGAACAGTGCAGTCCAACTCCTCTAGCCTAATCTAACTTCGTCGGGGATCAAGTGCGAAACCTGCTTCCTTCAGTTAATGAGTGGTGTTTTTATTTTTATTTACCTGTGGTCTAGCACAGGCTGCTAATGCACTAAAGGTATTCTCCTGCTACAGTGAGAAGAAAGATGCAACATTCTGATGTTTTGTCGATTAGCTTTCAGCTGACAACTGCATTGAATCTGCTTTTTTTTTCCACCAACCTGCTTCTGTTTCAGGTTATCAATAGCCTTGAGGTCATATAGCAGAAGCAGGAGAATGTAGAACACTGGATCGAGTTTCCTAAGAGAGACAAATGAAGAGAAATGCTTCAGCACCCAGCACTGTGCTTTGTTGAACAGGTGAGAACTCTTTGTTTTATGCTCTGATTAATTAACTGAAATACTTCCGCAGGGTTCCTCAATCATTTGGGGTTTAAGCAGAACTTTGCTTATTCTGAAAAAATGTGCCTTTTAGAATCTAAAGGATTGTCTATGAAGGCTTGAAACTACTCAATGGTCGTAGTAATAGAGATCTTGTTTTACTAAATGCATGCATAGACAGCAGTCAAAATCAGTTAAGTGGGTCCAAGAGTTTAATGATTTACCATTTCTTCAGGCAGTACTACTGTATGTCATACTGAGTGCAGTTATGTGGTCACAATAGCAACTGCTTAAGTTCGTAATCCTATTACAGTACCATTTTAACTAGAAATATTTAGTTGTTTAGGGCTTAAAAGACATTTAATCCAAAGAGCAGCAGTTTATCTTAAGCTTTAGAGTCAAAAACTTATATCTAGCCCAGTGATATTAAATTTTTATTCTATAGGATACTAATGAACAATATAAAATTAATTAAATTATCAGTGGATAATATGGTGAATGCAAACAAGACAGGGGTACCACGTTTACGAAGGAAGATGTGTTTTTCCGTACAGGAAATAATGGAATGGTTGATAGCCGTGCAGGTGTAGCACAAAGCTCCGCATTGGAGGTACTCATTGTGTAGTTATGAAAGGATTTTAACTGTCTGAGCAGGATGCCTGCCTTTCCTGCAACAGTACTCGGTACTTTCAATGCCTTATTTTGTTAGTAAATCTGCCACGCATACAATAAACTGTTCGTTTTCTTCGTACTGCTTAGAAAAACATCCTTTCTATGAAGTACAAATTCCATTGTGTTTTTAGAGCTATGGCTTTTGAATTATTCACCAGATTATTTACAGTGTACTGCAGTGCTACTATATAGTATTTCACTTGTATGTTTTACTCTAATACATTTTACTGTATATGGGCTTATACTTCACTGAGCTTGAGCTGGTGAGAGGTTTTAGCTTTGAGTTATTCTTTATTCTTAAAGTATTTTGGCTTTGACTAGGTTTTAGTTTGAAGCTTTAATTGTAAGCGACAAAAGATGTGAAATTAGGAAGTGTTTCTACCCAGTCCACAGGATGACCTGAGTGAATTGTGCTCTGCACTTGTTAGTGAGGGAGAAAGCAATTGAGGAACATAAACTGTTTTTATACAAGGCTCTGTTCAAAGAGGAAAGTCAGCTGACTGTCATGCGTCAGTGGAGGCCACGTTATGTCTTTATTTTTATCTCGACTGGGATGATTATATTTAGAAATTGAGGCACTGGAGTTGCCATTACCAAAACATACCAAAGGTTCAATACCATAACTCCACACATCGGTACTCTGTTTCCTCTGTGGAGTGCTTTAACTCATGTTGCTCCTTTTCAGAAATTGTTTTACAAAAGTCATTTTTTGACTGCCATAGTGATAGAGTATGTTGGCAAAAATGCTGTGCAGTGAAAATTAGTAGCTGTCAGAATGCAACGTTTTTTTGTAGCGGCCTTCAGAATTCGTTAAAAAAGAATTGCAGTTTTACCCTGAAATTAAAGCGTGATCACTAAAAGGGCAAGGTATCGGAGAATTTCTGGTCACTATTTGTGTGTTAAAATATTTTGAAATGTGCAGCAGTAATATTTGTAACTTGTTGGTTGTGTTTCTTGGCCGTGGAATTTTATTAACTGGGCAGCCTTAAAATATGTAATATCTTATTGTTCTGCTGTTCTCCTGCATGTGAATTTACTGAATTTAACCTGGAGAGCATTGTGAGGTGGGGAGCGCTGTCCTTGCTTTTAAACAAGAAAACCCCATAGATGAAGTCTCCAGGGAAACAATAAATAAGAGTGCTGTTATCATTCATTACAATTATGGAGGTGAAAAGTCTTTAATGATATCAAAAAGAAAAATGAGGGTTGCTGCGTAATTATTTATAATATGTGGGAGTGTTTGAATTGTGCTTAGCTTTTTATTATAAGACTTGTCTTTGGAATGAGATCAGGGCGCTCTATGTATCTTGTGTCTTTGGAGTCTTGACATAATTTTTTTCTGGCTGTGTTGACAGTGTATTTTATGGCTTGCAGAGAGACTTGAATAACTTAGAAAAGGCTTGCGGTAGCTCAGATTCCACACTCACATTAGTGCATCATTACCGTTCTAATCATAATTTTTAATGAAATATTATAATAAGGCTGGCACAGAGGTGCAGTGGTTAGCATTGCTCTGGAGTCCTGGGTTCGATTCCTGGGGAGCTATCTGAGTAGAGTTTGTATGTCACCCCGTGTTGGTGTGGCGAATTTCCTCCCACACTCCAAACAAGTATGTGAATTGGTTTCTGCGCAACTGGCCCTGGTGTGAATGTGTGTTTTTGTGTTAGTGTGGTGGTCTGCGATGGTGTACTCTGCCTTCATCTGTTGCTTGTCTGGGTAGGTTCTGGCTCCCCTTTGACCCTGTATTGGATGAAGTGGTTAGAAAATGGATGGATGTTATAAAGGCTTATTTTCTGCGCCAACTTTGCCCTTTGTGAGTTTGTCACCTAATAAGTCTAATCGCTGATATTTTGGGGTACTTCGTTAAGCGGCTTTCTAATGAGATCTGTACTGGTTGTGTGAGCTGGCCGGCTAGCTGTGGCGTTCTCTTTCCTTCAAGGTGCTGTGCTGGTTTCCTGGCTCTGTCGCAGTAGCACGTCTGCAGAGCCACGTTTTTCCAAGCCTCGAACAACAGGCACTTGCAAAACTGGGCGGGAGGACCATTTGAAAGAAGTAATTGGCAATTTTGAGTGGTTTTAAAAGTGTTCTGGCCAGATAATGACAGGCAATTGAAATGTGCTGTAAATGTGGTAAGATTTTATTTATGGGGATCATTTATTTACGTTTGCGTTGCGTTTCAGAAAACGTGGCTGGAGTCCTGTGGATGAAGACATCGCTGGGTCGCATTCAGTTTTAGGTAAGTGGTGTTTTCAGAGCCCATATCTCACCATCTTATTTTTGGGCTGTGTAGAAAAATAAAGAAAAGCAATAAAACCAAGAAATATTGGTTTTGTTAGAACCAATGAAAGGCAACAGGTGACAATAGATATCCTGTTAAAAACTAGTACATGCTCTGGGTTTTCTTTTAAAAATAGCCTAAGTGGTACTTGGGAAGAGCAGCTCTATCAAACTCTCCGATTCTGACTAATGACACATAAATGCAGGTAACTTTAGCAGAGATGTTCTGTATGCACACTGGAAAAGTACTTGGCATCATATTGATGAAAGGAAGCCTGCAATCACGTCCTCTGTGGTGTCTTTTTTTTGGTTTTAGCACTGGATAGTTTTTCTTGTTGTAGACTTATTTTGGTTTCAAGAAAAAAAAAATCAGCCGTGTTAGTCATCATTTTTGGATTGTATGATGTTTGATCAAATCTCAAAATCTCACTGAACTTTTCTGCTCTTCCGTGTGCTGAGAAAAGAGATACATCTCGTTAACGGATTGGGCCTGCTTCATCAGAGCTGAAAACAACAGCTTTTGAAAGCAATGCAACTTGACAGAGGTCAATAATTATAAAGTAATTGTGGGCATTGGTTCTGTGTAGGGATGGGTGCAGTCATGTGCTAAAGATTTTAGAGCAGCTTGAAATGTTTTCACAGATATGCACTGGGTAGAGATCATCAGGTCTAAGGGAAGTATAAAGGATCTGCTTGACTTTTTCACATTTGCCTTGGGGGTATATTTTCCTCCCCATTCAGAACGCCTTAGGCTTTTGCACTAGAACAAATATTCCAGCATGAGCAGGCAAAAAGATGGATTCTGGCAATCCATGCACGTTGAATGCTGCTGATTGTGATCTGGAACGCACCCTTCGAAAATCTGAGTGTAGATGAAGGATCCATTCTGGTATGTAAGGAGAAAATGAAGGCATCGGAGTTCAGAATAGGAACACTATATAAACAGAAGCAGTTTGCAAGTAAGCAGCAAAATCAATTTTAATGTTTTATGCTCACATTCTTGAGCGATACCAGTTGGTGACTATACTGGAATTGTGTTCTGCACTGGATGTGATTAATCATGCTCTTGGATGTCGGCATGACCAAGGGTACGCACTCAGGCTCTTCTCTAGGGAGAGAGCTTTTTCATACAAGAGTGATCGTGTACCCTGCACAAACATGCAGTTCTGGAACGCAAATTTAGATGCATCTTGTGTCACTGACCAAAATCAACCTGTGTTTTTTCTTTAGATGTTAGCCATGTACAATTTCTTGCATTAGGAATTTGTCTTTTCGCACACACAGCTTGCTCTCCATGAGACACACAGACAGGGAGAGAGAAGCTTGGGGTCAGAGTGCAGGGCCAGCCATTTATACGGCGCCCCTGGAGCAGTTGGGGTGAAGGGCCTTGCTCAGGGGCCCAACGGAGTAGGATTCCTCTGCCGGCCGCGGGATTTGAACCGGCAACCTTCCAGCCACAGGCGCAGATCCTGAGCCACAGTGCCACCGCAGCACCCATCCTACAATTGCTAGGATGTCGAGTTAGGCCTGGTGAGGTGGTTAGTGTTGAGCTACAGGCTCTGGGGACTGCGTTAAGGCAAGTGTTGGCAGTCACGTAAACATAAGGGCAGGGGTTGGAGTCATGGGTTGAAAGTCCAAGGTGGGTGGATGAGGATAGCCTTATGAGCAGCGAGTGCATTTTTCTCATCCCCTGCGCTATTAGTCATGTGGAAAGACTTGAGCACAGCAGGGGTGCAGCGAGCCTGTCCCCAGCTGCTGGTGAAGTATACAGCTGGTGCAGCCTTAAAAAAAAACTGACGGACTCTTTCTAGCTTAATGGACTCAGAACTACTGCACGTCCTGGGTGAAGGACCCTGGGCCACAGGCATGGCTGAAAGGTAGTTTGCTGTGTCTAACTAGCTTAAACATATCTGCCATTGCAAAATGGGTGCATTATCTTTGACACTGAGTTGAGGCATCACAGGAAATGTGTAGTCTGCAGATTTTTAATAGCCCTGCTTCCTCTGATTGATTTGTCTTTGTCTGCTGTGCTTTCTTTTAATTGAAGCCGTGTGTCAAAGAGTCCAGGGATGTCAGTTCTCCTGTGAGTGAAACAGATTTGGTGGCAGTACAGCAATATTAATTCTCAGCTAGAATAGTATTTTTGCATTCCCAAGAGGTAATTCAAAAATAATTTTTAAAGATTTTCTGTGAATGTCAGTGACTTTAACATTTCAACAGTCTATCAAGTATTGTTTTGAACTAATCATTAAAACTTAATCCAGTTCTGCTCTCTATGGTGTATTTCTCAGTACTGCAGTTGTTGATGCACTTTAGATTGATACTACAGCCCTTTACTGAGTAAACATCTTTAACATGGGTTTTAGAAATCATCCATGTGACTTTCAAATGTTCTTTTTTTCCATATGTGACTGTTTCCAAGTGTGTATTAGCCTTCCTAATATTCCTCTTCTAGTATGAATTTTGTTTACACAAAGTATACCATTAGATTACTAATAGAACAAGTTTAATCAGAAGGTAATTTAAGAACTGTTGTCTTTAAAATAGGCCCTTATTTTGGCACAGAAGAGGGTCTTATACTGACATAAACAATAAGTTCAAAAATAGTTTTAATAGTCTTTCTACTAGGGATTTTCTCCAGCCAACAGTAGTGACACAATAGTATTTTCTAGAGCCACCAATAATAGCCAGGAGTGTCTCTCACTGCTTTAAAAATAACTGTGCTGTGTGTGGTCCTATGTTTCATGCCATCACCTACATAGCAAGCTGTTATGGGATAAATCCATCTATGCTTTGATTTGGCTTTGTCAATCCAGTCATGCATGCTTTTAGATCAGTCCCTTTGACACCAGTGCGTCCGCTGACCGAAAGACATGGTGGAGCACCAATCCTGCTGTGGCCAAAGCTCTGGTTTCCCAAATCAGCTATCTGTTGCTTTAGTTACGAGTACATGATTTCACTCTTGACAGTACTCGAACCTCTTTCTTTATATTACAGTTTCACTCTTCCTCTGGCTTAGTGCAACACTCAGTACCAGTGCCTCAGCAACAGACAAAAGCAAGCATTATGTTTCCCTTTTAGCCTGTACTTACTATTATATAGATCTGAAAAGAGTGAGGGTTTTTTCTTAGCTTTTTAAATGAAGCTGTATATTGTCCAGGGCGTAGCATTAAGTCTGAAACAAGGTCCGAGTCTGACAAATTGCCTGATCTGGGGGAGAACTGACACCACACGGATTGAACTTGTTTTCACTTTCTAAAGTGTGCTCTCGGGCTGCCTGTGTAGCAGCAGTGGGGCTGACTCAATCGATGAGCCTCTTGCTGCCAGTCAAAGTCGGCTGTAGGTTAAGAGTTTCTCTATTGGAAACACACTTCTGTTTGTAATCAATCACTAGCTTAAAGGCACACTTGCTCACCCCTCCCTCTCTCTCGCACATGTCGTCTTTCTCTCCGCGTCCAACCCACACCCTTCCCTCTGCACGCACATGCATCATGTGTAAGCAAGCGTAGGCAGGGCAGATTCACATACTCCTTTACTTCAGAACACATGAATTGGCAAATGTTTGATGGATATTGGAAAGAGCAGCTCTCCACTTCAGCTCTCATATAGTATGCTACTGGCAGTTGCTTTTACAAGCGCTGCTGATGCTGCTCTCATCAGAGCCTATTGATTCAAACAACTTTTTCGCTGCGGTCGCTGAGCAGAGGGACACAACTGAGACAGCTTCCCTTAAAAGGCAGCAGGGGCTGGGGATGGGAGCGCAGTTTCTGATGCACCTCTCCCGGCAGGTTGCCGAGCGGCACTAACGGAAGACAGCAGCCCCAGGATGACGAGCGCCGTTCCCGCGCGGAAGCCGTACCGCAAGGCGCCGCCCCAGCACCGGGAGAACAGGCACGACCTGCCGGTGTTCAGGGAAGATCTGGGGCCGCCAGTGACCCTGCCGCAGCCGGAGCCCTGCCAGGTAACTCGCCTTCGCAGTGTCGCCCCCGTGTTTCAGCGCACGAGGTTCGGGGACCCCGAGCCTAAACTCACGGATAGCTCGGATCTTCCCAATGCCTGCTCGTCTTCTTGGTCCCTCGGCTCCGAGAGCGAGAGGGACGTCTCTAGCCTCTCCAGCCTGGATCTCACCAGCCTTCCTCCTCCCAGGATTTTTAGCCAGAGCCAGATCTCCGCAATCGAGCCCCAGGGGATGAGCCGCTTCCTGAGCCGAAGCGAGGACACGCTTGTGGTTTCGGAGGATGAAGCCTCTGCCTCCGAGGCATTAGGGAGGGTTTCAGGGTGCCCATCCAAAACGAGAAGCCTGGAGCGCTCCCTGGTTTTCAAGGAAAAGGCTGAAATCTTGGTCCCAAGAAAGCAACATTCTGGATATATGGCCCAGCTGCCTACAAAAGGGATTTTAAAACAGTCAAACCCCTCGGGGGTTCAGGCAGAAATCCTTCACAAGTCCAAATCGGCAGAAATGATTGGCCAGAATAGGAGCCAGGGCCCGAAGCCTCAAAATCTGTCATCGGACAAGGAGCAGAAGTGGCAAGAGCAGGTGAAATCCGTTGCAGGACCAGCTAAGCCTACAGCCGATTCGACACCTTCTTCAACCCCAAACTGGAAGATGCAGTTACTAGAGGAGAAGGTGAAGTTTTCCCAGTTCCTGGATGAGATCACCTATCAGGTTCTGAGTCCTGCAAATCTTCAGTGGATCGGTGTTCAGCACCCTGAGGTTGTGAAGCAGCGAGGAAACCCGCAGCACTCTGCCACAACAGCCTGTGAATCTACACCGTTGTCTCCGCCGTCTGAGTTTAAGGAGAAAACCGAGAAGCCCGAGAGCAGCACTTGTGCAGCCGCAGCTGGGGAAGATGGGAAATGGCCACCAGGCAAGGACAGTATGGAGAAGACCAGGAGAGAGAAGGACCGCAGCCTCAAGACTGGGCGTGGACCTGCAGGTCTGCACAGAGACCATCAAGGTCTTGGCCAGGAGGCTGAGCAGCTCAGGATGGACATCAGACAAGGTGCCAGGCCCAAGACAGAGGGGCCAGATGGCAGCAGAGCTAGTGGGGCAGGTCTCTCTAGCAGCAGCAAGGGCGACTGGGAAGACAAATTCGGAGGGATTATTCACCAGCAGCAGTTCTACAGCAGGACAGCAGATGCGGATTCTGTGGATAAATCAGGTCACCCTGAATGTGTTCAATCCACTCCGCTCTTGGATGTGAAACAAGTAACAAGATCCCAAGCCACCTCTTTTTGTAGTGTTTCACAGAACAAGGTATGTGATCAGGAGATTTATGTAGGAGTCCTCATTGCTTTCTCATTCATTTGGTGAAATGGTTGGATCCTGTAGACTTCTTCGAGCTAGCTTGTTTACATTAAGTGTGATCATAACTCTTTCAGAACATTAATTGTAAAAAGCTAAACATGTACATCTTCTCACTACAAGTGTAGAAATGTGTTTTGATTGCAAAAGGTTTCAATGTCAATGCGTCATGGCTAGTTTAGTTCATTAACCTCAAACTCTTGACCAAGGTATGATTTGAGAGTAAGTAAGGTTATATTATTATGAGAGCAGAGAAATACTTGACATGGTATCATTAGTAGTATGTCATAGTAAGATGATCATTGTCCTTTCTCTAATAAAAGCAGTTTTTTGTATTTTTACTTTTCCTGTTATTTGAAAGGGGAAGTAACATTTTTAAATTCTGTTTTCTTGTCAATGAGCCTAGAAGTATTTGCAGGCAAATAAAATGGGAACACCAAGTAAAATACCTCAATTTAGTTGCTAATTTTACAAGGAGGTTGTCACTAATCTACACACCATGTAATATTTTATTACACATGCTACTCAATGATATTTTGTGAATGTTGATGTTCATTCTTTTTTCTTTTTTGTTTGTAAAACATCTTGTAAAACAGTTTGTTTTTCTGTATTCCCTTGCTCCAGATAAGCTTGGAAAAGATAAGCATGCTTGTTTTTAACTTAGTTGGAAAATGCCCAGTGACATCTGTTTTTCTTTTCTCAAAGTTTGATGCTCACATTTCAATAAAAAATAAACACATATGAAAAGTCATTGTTGTCTTGTAGCCTGAATTAATCTGTATTTTTAATTATTTTTCCAATATAGAGAATGGTATTTTTCTGTTTAGTGAAGCATTGATGCACATAACCACACGTTTGCTTTTCACATGAACATCTAATATAACTTTGTTCTTTTTTTTTTAACAGGAAAGCTTGTCGGATGCAGACAAGATTAAGTAAGTTAATCTGTTTCCTTTGTTAATCGATTTGTTGTTAGAATTTAAGAGTGAGAAACATCTAAATCCAAATCTGGAGAAAGTATTTGTGATTCAATATGCTTTAGCAGTTAAATGCCACAATTCAACGACACATTATGCCACTTGAATCTAAGCTTTTTCTGGTCTACCTTTGTATTTGCATGTTTAGAAATTGTTTTGCATGATGATGCCCAAGTTCACCAAAAGCCTTTATTTTCCTTCATATAACAGCATTAACTGCAGTGTGATTGTTGAAGTGGCGACAGGTGTTGATTGTTACTTTTTACTACCAATACAGACTATGAACCTGGGTTTGAGCAGGTTTTACAAGTACATTCTCTCCAGTGCAGCTGGGGCTGAGCCAGTTCACAGAGCTCAGCGTGGAGTGCATTCCTAGTGGTAGGTACTGCAGTTTAGACTCTCCCAGTGAGGGTGGTCTTTTGAACAGAGAGGGCGTTGTTGCTGGTAAATTATTTCCAAGCTAAATTTTCAAGCTGTTCAGCACCTAGGCTAGGGGTCCCTCACAGAAATCCTAATACTTCCTCACTCTAGTGTTTTCAGGTTCCCTTTAGAGAAGTACTGTGCAAGAACTAAATCCGATAGCTTTGACAGCAGCCCTGGTGGCTAATTCATATGTGATCATCTGTGGATCATGATTGTGAAAATAGACATGGCCTGTCACACTTTTCCATCACCCCCGAGTGCAATTTGTCTCTTCATGTGGTGATACTAAGGATTCACCCTTACTGGAAGCTTTATTTTATTGCTTGGGTTATGTGAATGATTGGCCTAGATGTTCTGTGTGGGATGAAAGGTATAAATAATTCAGAGCCTTTCACAGTCCCTTGACTGGAGAAACCATACCCCTCAGGCTTCATTCTCAAGCAGGACAGACCTGACTTTTTTTTACACCTGGTCAGAAGTGTAATAGGAGAGTGCAGCATTAAAAATGCACAAGCTTTCCTATGACATGTCGCTAAACAGTAGTACGTTGTTTTATAGGTGGCCATATCAAGGATGTGTTCTCATTCAGATTTGTATTTTATCAATTGTGAGCTGCTCTCCGTCTGAGAAGTCTAATCCATACAATTCAGATGACCAAATCATCTGTAAAACAATCAAAATGTATTCTTAAGGATCTGTGGTTAAGGACCGAAGCCAGAAATGTGCATGGAAGTGCCACACTGGAGCTGCGGTGTTAGTATCTTGACAGATATGCCAAAGAATTCGTTACTGAAATAATCGTGTAGCCTGATCTTGCCAGGGCTCAGGAGCTAAGCTGGGCCTGGTCAGTACTAGGATGGGAGGGAGACCAGGAGCACCGGGTGGTGCTCATCCCTGCGGACCAGAAGTCTCAAACAAGTGCAATATGACAATATGGTGTCTGGGACTCTGTGATGTAAGAGGTGCTGTAAAACCAAGCGTCCTGACTAATTGTTCATTAAACATCACATGGCACAGAGAAGAGATGTTAACTCTGATGTCCTGTCTAAACCCCAGGTTGTTTGAGTTGCAACAGGCTGTTTTTATTTCTTAGCAATAGAAATTTGACCCTACTGGAGCCCAAGCCCCTTGCATTTTGAGGTGAAGATCAGATTCCCTTTCTCTATGGGTGTGCACAAATGTAGGGATGAAACTGCATTTGAGTTCAGATGGCATTGCTTTTTTTTACAGGTTTATCCCTCTGAGGAGTTTGAGGAGTTCTGTAATTAAATGAATGTAAATTGTGATTCTTAATCGATACTTATTAAAAAGACTTCACTCGAGCACTGCAGGATTGTGAGTTAATTCAGGTGAAAATTTTGTCCTTGACTAAGAATTACAAATAATCTCTGAACGTTTTTGTGTGTGGAAAAGGCTTTTCCGCCATGGGCAAGTCATGAGATTTTCTTATCTTTTTCCCCACCGGAGGGGATCGATACAAATTCGTGCTGCTGTTCTTCATATTCAAGGGCTGAACCGCCCCCAATCAACATCGTCACAGTCCCCTGGGCTTGCTCCATGATCGAGTCACCAAGCATTGAATTACGCAACCATATTTAACAATAAAAAGCAGAACAATTGTTGTTTATTATCCCTTAAGCTTGTGTACATGGGCCTGGTGAGATTAACTGAGTTTCCTGCAGACCCGTGCTGTGGCAGCCAGGCTGTAGGGTGACTTTAAAATTCACCCCTCTCAGATAGCTCTTGCTCACCAGGGTAGATTGCTTTTAAGTCGAAGGATTTTAAACCGTGAGGATTTTCTTATTTAAAGGCTACAGGCGGTTTAGCTGTGCTGAAGTGAAAATGGACGGAGTTTGAGGCACCAAGACTAGGCCTGCTGCAGAGGGTCAGGGAAGGTGATGTGGCAGTAACTGCTGAGGCATTAAAAGCTTAGTGTGGCTAACATTCATCTTGGGGGAGGGGGCCTGTTGTAAAGCTTAATGTTAAATTGGCAGGAAGAGGCTTTTTTTAAGAACACTTCTTAGCACCGGTAATGGAACAGCTTGCTTGTTAGTCCTTTTTTCCTGCCAGGATAGGAGGAACATGTGGGACCTGTAATGAAGCTCTGTCTTTGCAGTAGTAGTCAGTATGAAAGTTTTTTCAAAAAGTGATTTTCTGCGATCCATCACATTAAGTGAACTTGTATTCAGTTTTTCGTGAGTTATTTATGAATGAAGTAGCTGTACAGGCCTCTTGCACAGTATATACATGTCAGGCTTGCAAGTAAATCATCAGACTGTGCCCAGTACATTCTCCGCATTTGTAATAGGCTGGGGGTGATCTCTGATGATGATGATCACTACAAAGTAAGTCATTCAGAAACCCTAATTTCTATGACAAGCATAGCACCTTTCCTCTTAAAGCAAAATTGGCTTTTCATAAGCACCTCGTGTTCTTTGATAAAGTCCCAGCTGTCAGCAGTATTACTTTCTTCAAAATATCAGATTTTTGTTTTGCATGGAGCACATGTTTACTAATGGGAGTATTGTATGAACTGTTCCATTTCTAAATGATTGCGTCTTCACAGTTTCTTTTTCATTGCTGTTTTACTGCAAAAACTGTGGCCTTGCAGTGTGGTACTTAAAATGTGGTGCTATAGTTAATGAACGTGTACTGTTCTCTCTCTCGTCAACGGGGGTTCCAGTCATGAGTGTTTCGTGTGTCCTGCCATGGCATCCTGTACAGCTGAGTTGAAGTCTTGAATCTCTGCAGTAACCAGTAGTGCAGGACTGCTACTCCTGGGAGTGGTGTGAGAACAAAATGCTTAACTAGTATATTTATAGAATAGAGTATTGCATTTTTAACAGCCAGAAAATGGAATTTGTCATTCTCCTGCTAGGCTCGGCACACCATTAATCTTTTATGCTTCCATACATTCTGTTTGCGACCTCTCTCAAATGAATGAATGAACATGAGTGATCCCTGTGTGGGAACATCAGGTTCTCATGTGGATTAAAAGCTTTGCTTTCCCAGGCTCTTGTGAATGTATATTAATCACCATTGTGATGGAGGACCTCAGAACTAATTGATTTCTGTGTGATGAGCTGGTTTGTTGAGCTATAGTCATCGTGGTGACAGAGGAATTAAGTTAGGACTCCCATTGCACAGGGCTTTGACCTGTTTCAGTGTCTGCAAGCTCGAGGCAGTTGTATAGATTGGAACAGTGGAACAGTTGAACCCTGAATCTGTCCTGGCACATTTACTTAAATGTTATTTACTTGCTTGTGGTGTTGGCCAGTCATTAGGGGGATCTTATTCCCATTCCTGAGACAGTAGTTCATGCCAAAAAGGTTAGCTTGCCGTTTTAAGTTAAACACCACAGGCAAATGGCATGTAAACAAAAATCCCAAAGGCATTGCAGCCTTCATTGGCTCGAGTTGGGCAGCACCGAGAACAGAACCAGCAATGTTATGGCCACACAGTTACTGGAAAAGAGAACCATTCGGAATTATTTTTGTCAGCAGCTGCCTTATTAATTTCTTTCACTGTGGAATTGTTTGACGTTTGTCTCCGTCATCAGCTTGTTTTTTTAAAACCTAGGCAAAAGGCACTAAGGACATTGGTACAGGTTGGGCATGTGTCATCTCCTGTGTGAGGCAACAGCGATCAGCCCCGCCTGCATCCACTCCTGTCCCACAGCCCCTTGGCTGCATAAGCCTCTAAAGAGCAAGGTCTGATGCAGCCAAAGGACCCCCATTCCTTTAAATGGATGCGCAAATATGTTCAGGGTTGTTTAGGTGATTTTGTTAGTTGGCCTCGTTAATGAGGAGGTTGTGGTGACTGGAGGTTACAATCATGGGGAGATGGGTGCTTAAGAGTCACAAGGATGACATTTTGCTGATTCTGCCATTTCTAGTCCTGTCCCTCACATTAGACATTTTATATCCTTGGTAGACTGAATAAAATATTAAACTGGAGAAAATGACCCTTCTCCATTCTTATTCATTTGCAGCTCAAAGGTTTTGCTGAAACGGGTGTGAAGATCTCCCCTAACTTTAGATTCACAATGAGAATAAAATCTTATTTGACGTGTCTCCTTTAAAGGCTATTAAACTTGATGGGATTTCGGTAAAAAAAAATGACTGTACTTCAGTTATTTAGTTTCCCTGAGCCACTTCTTTCCCACAGAATATCAGCAATAAATCAGTTCTGTCATGATGCTTTGTGTTTAGTGCTTGGGGAATTGTCAAGGGTCTAGCTCACAACTTTACAGTTGTCTGAATTCCAAACTTCTGGAAGACTGGCTGTATCCAAGTTTAACTAAAAACACTCCTAGAATTATTTGAGTATTTAAGATATGGTTGGGTTGAAGTATATCAGCTTTGTGAAACTTGTACATATGATTCCAGATGGTCTGCTTCTAATATTAGGGCAGTCACTTCGTCAATAGGCCCAATCATTGCAAACTCAATGGAAATTGAGGGAATACATTTCACTGTGCCCAGACATTCTTAAAGCCATGTCCCACTCCAAAAACACAAAAGCTTGTCTGCTTGATGGCTGATCAACAGTTTTCAGTAAGATAGGGGTATATACTCTCTGACTTTGTCTGAAATTGGGTCTCCCGGCTACAGGAGCAAGCCTTGGTTGACAGTATCAAAAAATAAACATAAAATCAAGAAGCTGAGGATAATAAATGAAGCCATCAAAGCAGTGCTTTAAGAAGGGCTGTTTCGGCGCCGTCTCTAAGCCCTGGCTGGAAAGGTCTGAAGAGCTCATTAGAGCTCTGCAAGGTTACATTGCAATCGAGCCACTGCCACCCATTCCAGGATTTCAGTGAGAAAATGCAAATGGGGAACAGGATAATAGTGAAGTATTTGGAGAATCCTGACCACACTTGACACAGAAGTGATAACAGCAGACTTGAAGCTTATAGGAATAAGACTTACTGTTGATAAAGTAACAATAGGATGCAGAGCAGCTTTGAGAGGGGTTGTAGGTCTCAGTTTGGCAAGCAGCTCACTTTTATAGAAAACCTTAACAGAATAAATTAAGTCAAACTTGAACCTGTAAAAGCAGAAAAGGGCCTGGTTGCCATGACTGCATGGTGTGAGGTAAGATGCTATTGAGCTATTTTGTAGAAAGTAATTGCATGATTGTGTTGCATTGTTTAATAGAATGTGGTGTGGGTGAAAAAACTTACTAGTTCGAACATTTTATTGATAGTGGTTCAATGAGAGATGAGATGCGCTCTCAGCTTCTATCCAATGTTTTTGCACACGTTTCTGTTTTGCCCTAAAGAGCAGAAATCCAGATGTACAATGCTGTGCTTTAAATTACTTTTCTTTTAATGAATTTAAGATCATGATCTACTTTTCTTTAAGTTTAAGTTCATGATCAAAGGAAAAGTTGAATAATATCAAGATCATTTGGTGAAAGATTGAAACTATGAAGTTTTGGACCTGTTAAGGAGCACTTCAATATGACTTAACTTTAGTCTCCAAATATTCTTCTCTGGGAAGATGACTGGCTCAGAAAGGAGAATTGAGTCCTGTTTTTTTACACAATAATAAGTGAAGCTGTCTATAAAGAACATTCACTCCATTGTAGAGTTTGAGTTTTGAGAATAATACGACCACCAGGGACTTTTTAAGAACGTAACAAAGGTTACAAGAGAAGGCCTTCTACTCATCTAGCTTGTTCCACACTCCCCCACAGCCCTTTGTGTAAAAAACACCTCCTCTCTCCAGTCTTAAATGCACTTCCCTGTGGTTTCCACTTGTGTGCTTTGTTTTGTGTTCTGAAGAAGTCCATTGGGCTGACTTGGTCAGCGTCTTTGAGGATTTTGAGAACTTTGAATACGCAAGTGGGTAGCCTTCTTTGTCCAAGGCTAAAAATATTCAGTTTTTAGCTTTTTTTTTTTACAAACGATGCCCAGGGGCAGTACAGTAGCGCTGTGCTTAGCGTTGCTCATTGCATCTCGCAGTGCTGGGGTCCTGGGTTCAGTTCTTGTGGTACTGTGTGTGTGGAGTCTGTATGTTCTCCCCACGCTCCCTGGGGTTTCCTCTAGGCAAACCGGCCCTGTTGTGAGTGTGTCTGCCTGCCCTGTGGTGGACTCCTGTGTCCATGTGTCCAGGGAAATGGACAGACGGATTAGAATAAATACAGGCCCTGTCCTAGAGCCCCTGTGGCTGCAGTAGTAAGGAGTGTATTTTATCCTGGTTTAAAGACCTTTTGGCCGTGGAGAAGAACCTGCACCTGATGAAGGGCAGAGCATTGAGGGAGAGCGTGTGTGTGTGTGTGTGTGAGGGAGGCTGTGAGCGATGAGAACCCAGCGGCCTGTGGTTGAAGAGTTGCTCAGGCCGCCTGTGACTCCCCCCGTCTCGCCTCGACAGGGTCCTGCAGCAGCAGAACGAGGACCTGCGGCGCCGGCTCACCTACACCACCCACAAGATGGAGGCCATGGAGGCCGAGTTCGAGTCCGGCCGGCACTTCATGCAGGCGGAGCTGGGCAGGACCAAGGATGACCTGGAGAAGCTGAAGGACAAGTTCCGCAGGTACGGGGCGACGGGGCGGGGTGGCGGCCTCCTCTCCTCGGCGCGGTGAAGGGGGAGCCTTGCACAGCTCCGCGATGGATCTGCATCAGGTCCACGCTTGACCGGGTTACAAAGCTGTCGGCATTCTTTTGGAAAGTCATCTTCTAAATGAGCTAGTTTACTCATGCACTGACTAAACTGTCAATTTATAAATAAAGTGTTCATTTATAGATTTACCAGCTTTTGAATCAATCTAGAAAATCAAGAAATGAGAAAAATGTCCAAATGTTCCAGAAGATGGCTCATGATATTTCAACCATTGTAGTTAATCAGGACATCATTTATGCTGATTATTTATGATTTTGGGGTAGCATGGTGGTGGTGCAGGGGTTAGTGTTCGTGTTGGTTTACTTCATGTGCTCCGGTTTCCTCCCGCAGTCCTTAGACATGCTGGTAGGTTAGTTGGTGTCTAGTAACATTGGCCCTGATGTGGGTGTGTACTTCGTGTCCCTCCCAGGGAGTATCCTGCCTCGTGCCTATTGCTTGCTAAGATAGGCTCTGGTTCCCCCGTGACCCTGAATCCGATTAAGTGGTTAGGAAATAGATACTTAACCGGCATAAAAAACAGATCTTTCTTATGCCACCATTGCCTCTAGTTTATTGATGCATGGATTCCATACAGTGGTTAATTTTCTGTTAAATAATAGATGGTACGCAACATTGTACAATGTTTGTTTTATTGTGTTGAATGTGAAAAATCTCAAATGCTAAATACTTTGCGAGAATATCTTTGTGTTTATCCTTGCAGGTGGCATCTGTTCACTTAGTAATTTGTTTATTGAGAGTACATGCCCAGTGGTAAAATCAGAGA